GGAGGCGTGGGCGGAGTTCTGCGGAGGCTCCGCCTCTTGGCGGGCAGAGAGTGCCGACCCGGGCGGAGCGGGCCCTGAGCTGTAAATCCCACCCACCATTCCTTTGCAGCTCCCGTTGGCCAGTCCTGGCCTAGCATTCGCTTGCGATTGGTACCTTGAGCCGCCAATCCGATCCTTTTGTCCCACCCTCCCTGAAAATTAATAAATCTAGACAAGAAGCTATTGTCTAGCTCCGTCTTTTCCCCCAGCTACTGCTGGGAAGAGAAAGATGAGACGCTTGATTTTTCAGCCTCATAAAAGAGTGCGACAGTGTGTCGGCCGACTCCGATACACCTTTATGTTCATGGCACTGTCCAGCCTTCTGGCAATAGGTAAATTTTCTTCCCCCTTAATTCGTTAAACCAGGAGAAGGGGAAAGTACGTGAAGTGTCAATGTGGTGTTCTCATTTCCTGGCTGCGAAAAATTGATACTGCTTGAGAACACGGAGGGTTGAGAATAACATGGAGTTAAGGGACACGGAAAATCTACCATTTTACATGTGGGAAAAAGAAAGCATAAAGAAACAGTGCAGGGGTAGCAGAATAACATGGAGTTTGGAACCAAAGGAAGAATTCATTTTGGGTCCTGGCACTTATTAACCAGTTGTGCTACTTAAGTGTGACTTGGGTGGCTTAACTTCTCAGCCTTAATTTTCCTATCTGTAAATAAAGGCTATAAGACATGCCCTATTAACTTAATGGAACTGGTGTGAAAATAAAATGAAATGTGTGGGAAAACTCTGTAAACCACAAAGCACGGCACGCATGTATGTGTTCCTACCTGTGTACGCCACATGGTGGAGAGACTCCATATGTTTGAGAATCAAAAATTCTGCTCATCTGTTTTAAGCATTCACATCCAAGCTTGTGTAGGTTTTGTGGCTTTATTTTAAAAACATAACTCTTTTCTTACAGTTTTGGGGGTGGATATGGAGTTGGCTCCCTGCAGTTAGAAAAATAAATTACCCCTTTTCTAACCAGGGTGGGTGAGATTTCTTTTTTAAACAGTTCTGCAGTTGCACCACGACATAAATCTATTGTGGTGCTGATACTGAAAGAGGAAATCATGCTGTGTATCTCTGAAGTCAACTTAAGAAAACAAATATGAGGGAACATTTACCATGGAAACCACCATTCTCTACAGATCCATAGTGTCTAGAAAACATTTCAAGTAGGAAGCAAGTCTAAATGTAAAGGTCTTAACAACACAGAGCTATTATAATGACCTCAAGCCAATGAAAGAGTGACATCCAATTCAAGTCTGCCTCATATTAGGGAGCCTTCTGAGGGGCCGTGGATCAAGGTATGCAAGAAGTGTGCTCAAAGGAACCACTGTCTCACCGTGAACGGGAACTGAGAATATAGCACTGAGTGCAGGAAAAGCAGTGGGCAGATGGTATATGGTGGAGTATACTGCGGTCTCTGCTAGGAGCTGCAGAAAGATTCAGAAGCAGGGATTATGGGCAATGTGGATTCTTGGTATGATTCAGTTCATGTGTGCAGTGAGGTTATTTGGGAGTTTTTTCATGAGGAAGGCGAGTTTTTGAGTATTAAAGACATGGAAACATCTGGTTTGTAAGGCAAGGGAAGATTATTCCAGCCTTGTTATTTGGAGGAGTGGCCAGGAAAGCTCAATAGGGCGGGTGTATGTAGAGGACTACTATTGATCACGATGGCAGCAGGACAATTGTTAAAATCAGCAATACTGTTAAAGTGGAAGAAGTCAAACATGTACATGGTAAAATTAAAATAAAACAATACCGAAAGGAGTACAATGAAAAGTTCCTCTCCACCACTCCACTCCCATAGTCCCTTTCTCTTTATGACATGTATAATCTTATAAATATATTATTTGCATATTCAAGCACGAGTGCGTGTGTATATAGATATATTCCCTTTCTGCCCCTTACAAGTGGGATCATCAATCACAATACACTTTGCCTTTTTTTTTTTT